TTGGTGCACTCCGGATCTCTTGCGTTGACGTAAAAAATAGAGAGGAGAGGAACATTTTCTAATTAGTTCAGAGGAGTGCATGTTCCACTTTAAATCGTGGCTAATGGTCACGCCTAGCAATTTGGCACTGGTGACTAATTCAAGGGGTTTGCCATTTAGGACTAGAGGTTCAAAATCGTGGTTGTTGTTGGAGAATCCAATTCGAAGTTCTTTGCACTTGGCCTCATTCAGTTGGAACCCATCAAGATTCGCTTGTCTCGAAAGGTCATCCAGAGCTTCTTGGAGTTTGCTCTCACTACCCTTTGTAACTATTTCGGAACAAGATGTATCATCAACGTATTTCCACATGTCAACTGGAGTGTCCAAGTCATTAATCATGACAAGAAATAACCAGGGGCCTAGTTTTGTTCCCTGGGGGACACCGGATGGTACAGAGCTCCATTCAGAGTGACAATCCTGAGCAAGTTTAACTCTTTGTTTCCGGTCCATCAAGAAGTCAACAATCCAGCCTTTGACTTGACTCGGAATATCATATGTTGTTAGTTTTTGAACAAGAACACTGTGATCGATAAGGTCAAAGGCCTGACGGAAATCAAGTAGGACTACTCTTGCCGTGGCACCATTTCCGTCGGTGTTAACAAGTCAATTATGCGTAATATTGACCAAGGCATGTGTAGTAGACGATTTGGGAATAGTTCCAAATTGTCGAGGGTCGATTCTTTGTAACACAGCAGGTTTAACGTACTTTTCAACGATGTGATCTTCGGCGAGTTTAGACAGGATAGGCGTAAGGGAAATCGGACGGAGGTGCTTGTTAATGTCATTAATAGGCCTTTGTTTTGGGACCGGGACAACGTCAGCCTCTTTCCAAGAAGGCGGAAGGCGGGTTTCATGGAACGAGGAGTTGAGGATCGCAGAGACTGGACCCGCCAAGAGATCAGCGTTTTCTTTTAATAACCATGCCGGGATACCGTCTGGCCCGTGTGCTTTGGAGGGGTTGAGTGCAGATAGTTTCATAAAAGTTGAAAACTCCGATATCATATTTACGGCATGACTTTCGTTGTTTTTCTAAATGCTCAAATCGCGTGGATCCTTGAGGCATTGGTAAAAGTACAAGTATTTTTGTACTTTTGGTACGAAAGTTTCCTCGCTGTGAAGGTTTGCACGCAAGGAACTTGAATTTGTTGAATGAACTCAGTGGTATGTTTTGACAGGTCTCTCCTGTTTGGCGAAACGCTTTACGCACGTGTGAGAAAGCCATTTCGCTGCCGTGATCGGCTATCAGAATTTTTTAAGCGGATTTTCTTATGAAGAAAAATTGTGAGTAAATCTCAGTATGTATATGATAAAGACCATTTTACAGTTTTGTGCTGAGTGCCTTGGCCTTTGAAGAGGCGCGAGGCTGGAAGCATAGTTAATTGAGTGGAATGGTTATGAAACCCGTCAGACTCCTTTGTTATATGTTTTTGTGGACCTGAAAGTGCACAACGTTCAAAAGAATTCCTATCATTTTGATTGTATTGACCAATAAAAACGTTGCATTAATTTATTCCGTAACAATTTGCCAACAGAAAACAAAGGATTGTGCACTTTCACGGTGCTTTGAACATAAACTGCAGCACTGTTGCTTTTATCATTGATGTTTCCCGCTTTTCATAACCAGTCTCCTCTAATAACTATGGCTGGAAGTGACCTTGTTTTGTTACAAATCGTCCTGTTTTCACGCGAATGAACCTGTTTACGGGCTTGTTAGCATAAGCATAACACGATGTGCAGGTAAATAGCAGTTAGGTTGTTACATCACAAGGTCGCCTCCAGCCCCACATTAGTTCAAAAGCCAGGGCACTGGGCACACAACTGTAAGAATGGCCCATTCTGATTTTCCGTTGCTGATAACTTACAAAAGATTTCTGTGGCAATAAATCACTATTTTATGTGATGACAGTTGCTGGTTCTTTAAATTTCTTTGCAAAAGTTTATTACCGATTAAGTAAATGGTTATTTATCGATTTAAGGGTTGTTCGTGTTGTTCACTGCAAGATTTTCTGTCTCACTTCATTTTTCTGTCTATGTGTCTTTGATTTCTATAAAGGAAAAGGAAACAATGGAAGTCCTTGGTTAAACACCAAGGTGTTACCTGAAGATCTGGCTGACTGGAAGTTATTAGAGTGATTTAGAGTCACGTTTACGACTAACGACAAACGTTAGATTCAAGTTGAGAATTTTTCAAAATAGAAAATATGCACATAAAAAAAAATCGTAGCAATTCTTCGGAATGAAGCTGGCGTGAAACTTCTTCTTCTTAGTAAACCACAAGGGAAGGGAAAACTTGGTCCCGAGGTACAAACTGACGTTCGGCGTCAGCGTGACTCTAGATCCCTCTAACTAGTATTATTAATACAGTCAAACCCGACACTGAGGGGACCATATGAAGTGTGTTTCGTGAACTGTCTGTCAGACACTCAAAAATCGCTTATTTGTACGTTTTTTAAAAACAGTTCTTTGTAAAGAGCGAGTTTCGTATGACCTTGAAAACTGGTTTCGGAAAGTGCTCGTTATTTGTTTTATCACCCAATGGGTGAAAAGATCAAAACATGGACTTCGTTTCCCCGCCAAAGAAAACCCAAATATGGAGAAGGCATTGTTCGATTTGCCAATCGTGTTGCAGTATGAAGTCAAAGCGAAGCATCGACTGGTTTCTAGAAAGTTCTCGGGTATGAAGTTTTTTCACCCCAGCGTTCGCTTAACCAACCAAAAGTCACGCGCGCGTTTCTATCCATTCGATATACACATCAAATCGCCCTATTTTCGTTCGTTTGTTGTTTCTGTTTTGTTCGCGCTTTTTCATTTCAAGGTCATACGAAAATCGTTCTAACCCATTTGTTGCCAGCTGTGTTAACTGTGACATACATTTTTACCGTCAGAAAAATAAGATTAGCAAGGTTAACTTTCCAAGAGAATTTGTTGATCGAACAAGAGAAAAGTGTCCGTTGTCCGCATTAACACGTGTTGGCAGAGTGCAGGTTAAATTTAGACAAAATGTTCGGGCTTTCCTAAGGGGCAAAGAAAACTGTCCGTAATAACGAGGTGTAGGTGGGGTTCCACTGTGTATGTCGGTATGTGTGTATCGGGATTGAAGATTGTATAGGATACTTACTGAGAATTAAACACAACAGATACGGCCTTTACACTGGGACATTCCGTAGATTTTCCTTTCATTTTGATCACATACGCAGTTGCAGGTACCTCCGATACCGTGGTATATGTAGCAACCAAAAGGTGGATTATCAACTAGAAATTAATAGCACCATACGATGATCAGACTATTAACCTAACGGGGACTAGTTAGACCAGACTCGTACCCAGTCACTATTTAAGTGGTTTTTGGGGTGAGAAAAAATTGGGGATTAAGTTGAGGCGCGCGCAGGGTCTCGTGGGAAGGGAAGAAGGAAAAATAGCCCATGAGACCCCGCGCGCGCCTCAACCTTATCCCCAATCTTCTCTCAACCCCAAAAACACTTAAATAGCGACTGGGTACCAGTCTGCTTCTAGACTGTATAAATAGCATCGAGAGGAGAAGTCGTTAGATTACGTTGCCTTCGATGCGATGGTTTCTGGGTCTCAACAAACCGTGGTCCTGCAGATATGACAGAAAATAGCGAAAAGGTTGTCATGTCTGACTTTCCTGTACATGATCACACTCAGGAACAAGACGGCAGCCCATACTTTTCTTCCATCGTTCGACAATGCAAATGACCGTCTCTGTCAAGAAAGATTGTTGTGATCCAGAAATTTTGGTACAGTGGTAACCTGACGTCACCCTTCTCCTCTCCATTACTTGTATTTTTATGTCTAAAAATAAAAGTATTATTGGGGTCGTTATTGCTTTTTGTGCAATACAATAATTAGTAGTTAGATACCCTGTATTAGATTATTATAGATAGAAATCATGTAATGTGCGCTTGATCATTTCATGGAAAGCGCCCAATATAAGAATTAAATTATTATTATTATTATTATTCAGAAATAATTTAAGACCGAAATGTCACAAGTAAGAAAAAGATCACATCATGTTCTATTTTCAGGTTGTGTGGGTTATGTCCTCATTTGAAAAAGATGATGTTTTTGAAGACTGAAACTCGTAAGGTGTTGATTGCTTGTCGTAATTTGGTTGCTTGCTAAGCCTAAATTCCTGTTACAAATCAGTGAACCGTGTGGACGAGGTTGGGCCGTTAAATCGCGCAACATGTACAGATGTTGTTACAAAAAGTAGAACCACTCTCTACTTTCTGCAACAAATGTTTGCAACCATCAAGAACCTGATTTGCTCCAAGACAGGTTTGATGTGGGTGGTAAAACGCACAACATCGCTTTTCAACTCGTTTTGCAGCAATGTTGCAAAACAAGTTGCACGTTTTTGTTGCACGTTTTACCACCGAGTTAAAGGGGCTGTGTCACGGCAGTCCAGTTCATTTTGTTTAATTCAGTTGCCAATTACTCGCCCTCAATCGCTATGGACCTTAAGTAAGCAAAGAAATTACAGGTAAATTACAAAATCAGAGATCCGAGACAAACAAATATGCCCTCCTGAGCATTATTTTTGAAGTTGGAAGCACCAGGGATCAACTTTGAAAAACTGTTAGGCGGAACAGTTTTCAAAAACCCTAATTTCAGTCCTTTTCAATCTTCTTCAGTTTTGCCCATCCGTGGCATCTGTTGTTTCTGTTATGTTATTTTAACCTTCTTTTGATGTTTTAAGCGGTTATTTTTACGTTTCTCTTAATTTAACGGGCATTTTGTAATTTCCTAATTTTTTGGCTTTTCGTGACACAGCTCCTTTAAGCCCCGAATATATGACTTTGTACAGCATGATTAAACGGGTACGCTAGGACTTTTACTTTACGAACTCAACTTACTCGGCTGTTTGAAGCACCTCTTAACACCGGGCGTTGTAACTGTGTCATCCCAGCAACATGCTCTGTTAAGACATTCCTTTTTTGTTATCCCATAATATCCACATTCCACTCGTTCAGTGGAGCCACGGGACAAAGTCCATCAGGAAGATCTGTACAGATACACATACCCTTTATCTGAACCAGTGACGATTCTTAACGAAATAATAGTACGTATTTATGGTGGAGCTCTCGCGCAACGGAGTACCATGGGTAAGGAAATTCGGTTGTCCATGCATCCAAGAAATTTTGGTTCTGAGAAAATCGTTCGTACGTACTTGCGTACGTCTACCCGCTCATGTAAGCGGATGTTAAGTGTCTTACCCTACATCCATGTTATCATCAATTAACCGCTGTCAACTGTCATAGAATACCCGCTGACCGGTGTCACATGACTGTATGGCGAGCTCAGGTGCACAACTGTGAGGAGACATGTTTTTTATAGTTTTCCGCAGACAAGTCAAGGTATTCAAGTGATTGCAGGCTCAGAAAAATTTACTTTTGAAAAAAATTTATATATTATTTGTATTTAAAGCTTATTGTAACACGTTGCATTATCTATTGTATGGCACTGTAGCAAAAGTGGAACATCTTTGGGTTGCCATTAATGCAAATATATCTTTAATTGTAAAACTTAAACTGGAAAATAATTGGAAAAAAAGATCATTTATTGAAATAGTTGATAAAAAAAGTCATCCAATCAGGCGAGGGAAGTTATATGTATTAGGATTTGGACAAAACGCACGTGAAACAATTTCCTTATTTAAGCGCGTACGTTCGTAACGTGTTTCGAAAACTTCCGAGTTTGAGTCGCAAAAACGCTGTTACCAAACTTCAATTTTACAGGGCCTCTCTTAGCTGCACTGTCACCTAATCAAAGCTTACTCGAGTGTCCTTTAACGTAGCAGTACTTTGCGTTTGGATCGCTTTTATCCCAGCAACAGCCTCTCTTCAAGCAGGTTTGTTCATCGATTCCCAGCCATCCACATTCATAACGGTTTTGAGATTGCACGTCACACGTAGGGGCTGTAAGTTACAAAACACAAGATAATTTAAAAATGCAAAGAATGTTAACGCTGTACCTTACGTTCTATTGATCAGGTTATTTATTCTCATAACCTTTTCTCTTCAATATGAATCAAGATTGTAAGGAGAAAATTGATGTTGGTCACTATTACGGGGACTTGGGAATTGCTTTTTTTAGGGGGGGTGGGGTCAAATGAGCATATCATGTTGCACCCCTTTCACGCATAACCAAGGTGGAAACACAATACATTATTATTTCAAGCATCTTGGCTAAATGAACGGAGCTTAACATGGGTATAAACCTTCCTTTAGTTAAGAAACCGCCCTTTCAGTACTTTTCCATGGAGCAATTTGGTTTTTTGATATTCAGTACTATTCAAGGATAAAGAAGGTATATTTGCAAGTGCAACTACTCGGACAGGGCCACTTGGAAGAAGATTATCCAATCACAACGTTTTTTTGCAACGGATCAATAACATTCATGAATCTGATGGCTGTTTCCTGAGAGGTCAGGTAAGTTGAAGCAGTTTTAAAGTTTTTAACGGTTGCATAGTTGAACCTTGACAGGAGCCGACCTTGATTTTCACTGGTCCGTTTGCAAAAATAAAATGTTTTGTTTTTTTAAAAACGTTGTGAGTGGATAATCTTCTTTAAAGTGCCCCGGTTCGAGATAGACCCCTAGCCCCAAAGGGGTACGGGTCAATTCGTCTCATAGGATGTTGACCTGTGGCCCTTGAGGGCGAAGGGTCTAATTGTTTTAGTTTCACCCAACTAGTCGCACAAAAAGCAATTATAAAGATAAGAAATACTTGCTAAAAAAATATTTGGGAAAGTAATGGACCAAGCTCGATTGCGCAAAATTTGCATAGTAAAAATTCACATAACCGACACGTTTCTGAAACACGTGATACAAAAGCGAAGCTTGTGAAAATTCTTTCATTCACTTATCCAGATGTGAAGTCGGTGGAAATCCAACGAAAACTGTGCTTAAAAGCAACAATCGAAAACTTTACAATAGTGCAACGACCCACAATACTTTCATGAACTGTAAGGACTGAAGCAAAAGTGACTTAGAACTAGAAAATGGTTCACTAACTTTACCCTCGGAAGTACACGCAAATTCATACCCCTACCTTGATACAGGGGGAGGGGGATGGACCGCTTCCCCGGAGTTTGCGGTATTTCGAAACGATTTTACCGTAAGCGAAAAGCCTTTGATTTTCTTAACAAGATGAGGTATATTTTTAGGTGGTTGTGCTGCTGGAGGAATGTGACGTCAACAACAATGGTCGCCACCTCGGCCGCCATCTTGGATTTTACCAAGAACTAGAAATCAGGTTAAAACCGCGAGAAAAACTACTAGTACATGATTTTAGCCGAAAGATTTACTTTTATTGTTAAAAGAAGTTTAAAAAAAAACATGTATTTTCAGCCAAAAATGGCTTGACCACCTGCTACTTATGACGTCATATCTCGTAACCATAGAAACTGACCATCACTAAACTTTTCTCAAAATTTGCGAGAGGGATGAACGAATAGCTACTGGAAACGTCAGGTGCTGATGTTTAATCTTCTAAAAAAAAAACTCAGAAAAACCTCCTTGTACGTCCGAGGGTTAATACAGTTACATAAGCCTCCAATTAACTTTTAACGTAAAAATAATAATATTATCTTTCATGCTAATATCCGTACCTTGGGCCATTTTATTTGTGTTTTTGCCTTTTGCACAAATTCTGTCTACAGGAGTTTTCTCTTTCTAAAAACAATAATTTCTACGTACTAAGTAAATCCTGAGATCCTCTTGAGATGAGGTCGTATAGCTAGTTTTTAAGAAAAAAGCCTTTAAAGGTCTAGTTTCCAGTCCCCTTTTTAGGTGATCGGTCACTATATATCGCGATATGCTACGCAATAAACAATTTGTAGAAGGTAAAATGAAAAATTAAATTTGGCGTAAAACATTGTGAGACATTCATTTAACTCTTCCTTCTACATCTCTTGTATAACTGTTTTGAATTTTTGTCGTATATGGAAATAATTCTATAATTATAATAAATGTGACAATATACTGAAAACACTCGTCGAAAAAAGGTTATTTGTTTTGAATTGATGGTAACCGTTAAATCGAAACCATGTTAAATGCTCGTAATTTCGTCTAGTAAAAAAAAGTTAACTTACCATCAAATATGTTCATTCCATACTCCGTTGTTGTTTTAGTCTTTTCTGGAATGTAATTGTCTAGCAAGTTATCTAGATTGAAAGCTCGACAAAACGCGAAGCGGCCGCCATTGTTTTGATCAGTTTTCAAACCCCGCCGAATTTCGCCACTCGAAGACTATTACTTATAGCCCCCTAGTTGCGCAGTTAATTAAAATGCAGGATTTGCATCAGTCTGCTAGTTGGGTGATACTAGAAAGAGTTATAATGCTTTAAATAAAATGTTCACAAACTGACGAGGGCCGCGTTTTGAGTTGTAGCAAAAGAGGGCATCTGGATGAGTACTGTCCCAACAACAGCCTTTCTTCTCACATGTTGCTTGATCTATTCCAAACCATCCACATTCATTCCGATTTTCGGGTTTGATATCGCAGATATCTAATAAGAAATGAAACAAGTTACTCAAATCAATACAGGAAATAAAGATCTTAGTCTTTTTTTTTTTTTTTTTTTTTTTTTTAAACAAAAAAAAAATTGTCAAATTATTACAGGAGGTGTTACAGGGCTAAAGGAAATTGTAAAAAAAGTACTACAGGGCAATGAAATAATACGGAGTTAATACAGTTAACTTAAATAAGGCGTCAGTATCCACTTTCTTTTAAAGAATTATTTGTTGCTGATTTTTTCTTCTGTTTCATATTTAGCGATGATCTTGGCTCTAAATCCATAAATGTTTGGAAGGATTTGTCTGCTCCTGCAGTCCCACGAATAGAGTTTTCCAATAATTATAAAATAGTTCAGCAATTGAAGTAAAGGGCAAGCATTTTCCGTCAAAATTCCAAAGAGCACATTTTCCAAGCAGAGACGAATTCGTTGATTCGAAATAAGGCACCAATATAGTTCAAATTCAATCCAAAACTTTTTAGAGCGTGAGCAGTGATAGAACAAATGTGTTAATGATTCAGGTTGATTGTCACAGAAAGTACATAAATCATTTGTCCTAAAACCTATTTTATACAACTTTGTATTTGTGTAAAGAATTGAGTTAATTACTTTGTACTGGAAGGCTTTAACATACGATTCGACAACGATAGAGTGTGGCAGCTTAAATATTTGCTTCAGATTGTCGCTGTTAAAATTAAAGTTACTCTGTAATTTTTGAATAATATTGGGCGGTTTAGCTTTTTCTCTGATGAGTAGGTTGTAGTAATCGTTTGATTTCCCTTTCGTAACATCAAAATTATTGTCACCCACCACAAATGTTGGTGAGTTTATGGAAGGATACCTGTCATAACTTCTTAACGATAATGGAATGGACCTGCGTAAGCCAGCCCATTCTAAAATATTTGTTTTGCATATTTTTTTAGACAGTTTTTTATAAGAATTAGTACTGTTCAGACTAAATAAAAGATCCTGAATGTAAATGACTCTCGCATTAACATAATGTTTATAATAAACCGGCTTGTTTTCTACTTTTATTTCTTTGTTATTCCAGATTATCGTTTTCCAATCTTCTTCAGTGGCAAACGTTTCACGAAATTGCGACCACCATAACAAAAGTTCCTGATAAAACTGGGAAGGAATTGTGTAATCCGAGATATTGTAGTTGCAGTTAAAAAAGAACAATCCCCCAACGGAGCTCAGTATGTGTTGTAGGTAGCTTTTCCAAGTTCCTTTATTCCCACTGAAGATACATTTTAACCAAGCTAATCTCAATGACTTAACCATGCACTCGAGATCAACCATTCTTAGCCCTCCCTCTTCGTATTCGTTTATAACTGAAGCTCTTGTTACCTTATCTACACCTTTCCAGAGAAATTTAAACAGTATTTTATTCAATTCTTTTAGTAATTCCTTGGGAGTTGGAAGGATCGAACAAATGTAAATGTACTTAGGGATAAGAAAAGATTTGATTATTGTCACCTTACCGTATATCGACAGGCCTCTAGCGGACCATATATTAATAAGTTTTTTAATGGAATCCAGTCGTTCTATAAAATTCTTTTCTTTAAGCAATTTTTGGTCATAAGTAAAATATACACCTAGAGCTTTTATTGGCTCGTCCGGCCATTCAATACCGCCATTTAAAACTGCAATGGCAATAAGGCCCGTCACCCCGGCCAATTTGTTGAATGTTTTTGTAAGCTTTTTTAGACCAAACCGTGCCAACGTTCAAAATAGTCGACCATCGACATTTAACCGACGTCACCGCTAGTTTCCGCGCGAAATGACGTGTGAGGAACGAGCCTCGTTAATTCCATACTGATGAAGTGTCACTACCCAGATGTGAGCAGTGTTTTTAACTGGTCGTGCCACGTGGGAAATTTGCTACAACCAATCAGAAGTACTACCCAGATCTGGGAAGTGACACGTCATCAGTATGGAGTTTTTGCGTTCGTTCCCCAGACGTCATTTCGCGGGAAAATCAACAGTGGCGTTGCGGAATGTCGGCTTTTTTCTTGGGCTGCCTTCAAAAGCAATCACCGTCATAGTGAACTGACCAATAGAAACGTCGCATTAAGGACTGCGCACTGCAATTCACGAATCTGAATCTGCAGAAAAAAACGTTATCAGCGTAAGGAATGGGAGCAGAGAAAAAAAAAAGGTTTATATTTCTGGCGGTATCCAGGAGATTGCCATGCGCATGTGACTGGAAGCTGTTCAGTGCTCGAGGGGCAAAACGTACTGTACCTTCAATACTCGTGACATAAGTTGGGATAGTGGGGATATTTTCTGCCCTCTAAATGTCGGTTTTTGCGAGTTGGCATCACAGAAGCAAAAAAATCAACATTGGGAGGAAAGAGCACAACTTTTTGTCGGAATCATGGGTACAGCACGGGTGTCCCAACTTACTGTGACGGGAATTGTTGCTGGAAGAAACTAACTAAGTTTATCGCAATACGAAAGCCCAGTTTAACTATAAAGACGACGTTTTCTGATTAGCGGTTTCAAAGACTGCTTACACGGGCGAGGTCGATAGCTACATCGCCCTAAGTATGGCAATCCAAGATAGTCTTGAAATCTGGATTTTACTCTGTGGATTCCGATTCCCGATTCCCGATTCCCGATTCCCGGTAAAAAAAGAGGCTGTGGACTTTAGAACAATAACTACACTGATACAAAAGAAAGAAATAAATGTTCATGCATATATAACGACGCTACGAGTTCTGTTCCAATGTTCATTTCCAACACCACTGAACAATGAAATACAGGACCGTTTAACGGCAAACAGGCAAATTGATAACGTTTAGGCTTATATATTTTTTTTTACTTTCATTCTGTTCTGTTCCTGTTGTTCCAGTCGCATAAATGTTTTTTAGATGTTTTTGAAATACTTTCTTCCTTTATTGTGACGCACAATAAATGTATTATAATTAATGTAACTCCAAGTGTATGTGTTACGTTTTCTTTCATTTGTTTCCCAGATACGTTTTTGCCCAGAAACTGCTAAATTGATCCGTAGCTCGAGTTACATGTTTTTAGACTAGAAAACCTTGCTTAAAATTTGGCTTATTCCTGGGTTAAACTTAACGATCTTTCGAGGAACCGGGCCAGGGCTTTGAGGTGGGATTTTACGGTGTATTTACTGGGGATTAGTCACTATATTTACCTTGGTTGTTTTGAGATGGCATACATGTGACAATGAGAGCTGCACCAAGCATATACATGACCGACTGAAATATTCCTTTCATTTTTCGTAGCTGTTAAAATAACAAAAGGAATAACCTTTTACAAATGGATCAAAAAATAAAAATTAATCCAGAGGCTGTTAACGCCCCCTGATCGAGTTCCTTTTTACGATCGTAAATCAGAATTGTAAGCGCAAAAAGTAAAAAAAAAAAAAAGGTTTTTTTGCAACGAAGACTTGTGCTATTGAAAAACCAAACGAGAGCATATCTATTTTGATATAGGAATTTCGAATATCATCAAAACTAAATTTTTTAACGTTTTTAATTAGGGCTCGAAAAAGGAACAATCAGTGCAATTTTAACGCGGGTTAATTAAGTAGTAAAAGTTGGTTTAACAGTTCTTAGTGTTAAGTTATTGAATTTAATTTAATACTGCAAAGAACTTCAGCAAATTCTCCCACGGTTTCTTTAGGATTGGCGTTAACACAGCGGGCTCTGTGAATAAGCTTATTATGTTTTGTTGCTCATCAAAGCACAGATTAAACGTTTGAGGAGTAACGAGTACGTATATCATACCAGATAAAGATCCAAGTAAAAGCAAATTAAAGCTCTCCTTTCTGAACTATTATCCTTCAAAGAAGACTTGCCTAAGCGAAGAATGGCTCAATGAACTGAGTGACGCTTTCAGGACCGGGCGTGTCTTTTATTAAAGGCTGTTGAGGAGAAAAACTGTCATTTAGCTTTTACTTGGGCAGAACAATTAAAGTTAAATTCTAAAGCTGATCAAACATTATTTGTGTAGATCATGGAGTCAGTAAACATCCCTTTGACGGTGGATGATATCGGGCGCAAACGATGGAAAGACAGTCGTAGCAAAAATAATTGTTTCAATATTTTAATATATTGTTCGTTAGCTTCGACTAAAGAATCATTGCACGTTTCTCAATTTTGTTTTCTATAAAGGGTTACACAAATGTCCTTGTATAAAATAATCTCTATTCGAAAATAATTTTAAGTTTTGAGAAAAATACAACTGGCATCCTGTACATTCCTGGACGACTACGAGAGCGATATTTTCTCAGTAATAAGTAGTGCGCGAGCTTGATCCAGGATCATTTTAACAGGAAAACGTAATAGCCGTCTTCATTGTACTACGGGTTTTAGCATAATGTTGTAGTAGCGAAAACAAATTTTCCAAATGCTAGACGTTTTATCATTTTGCGCAGATCGGGAGAGGACTTTACCTCCTTCAATAAAAATAACTTTTCTGGTGGAAACAAGTAAAATGAAGCTTTCCAAGGTGTCTTTTTAACTCTTCGTTTTAGCCCCGATATCTACATACCAATTCTCCAGATTGATGTCCATACATTTTCTTGAAAAAATAGTTGAGAGAATTTGAAAAAAGATCGAATTCTGATCAATTTGTTAATTCTCATAGACTTTGCTCTTTACAGTCTATGGATATTGTCAGGCGAAAGTTGATGTTGGTCACTATTAATTTGGACTTAAAGGGTTAAGTCAAATCTCTTCGTCATCGTCGTCGTCCTCGAATCTGAAGGTCTCTGATATCGATCCTTTTTAATTTCAGTTGTTTACTCTTTCTGAGAGTTTAGGAGGATTTGAAAATTTAACGGAACTACCGTAAGTGTTTTATTTAGTTTTATGACCACTAAAGAACATTGTATGGCATATTATCACTGCTGAAATGGCCCCTTGTAATGTCAGCTTTGAAGTTGCAGTTGAAAAATGCATTTTGGAGAGGATAACTTACAAAAATGTAGCGTGATTAGCTAAGAGTCAGTCATGTGATTTATTTGTTTTTTGGAATAGTGTGCATTTAATTAAAATAAGATGTATTTGCCAGTGTTTCCGAATGGTACATTTAGTTTCAAAACTAAGATACATTTTGTTTCAAAAGTCTCTCACATACAAGAAATATTCAGACTCTAGAAATGGGGTAGGTTTAAGGAGAGGAAAAGTGACACTTCCCTCAAGAACATCTCACTGGAGAGTGAAAAAGGTCTTTCAATAAACGTCTTAGTCAAGTTCAGCCACTTACAGTGAATCTAGATGAGTTTTTTTTTACATCAAGAGTGTTGTTGTATAGCAAACTGGCTCTAGCTTTGGTGGTTTAAGAAGCTTGTAGAAAGTGTTTCCGCGCGGTTTCATTGCGGAAGCGTAAATGATTAATATGAGCAGGAAATAGTTCGCGTTCGCTCAGAAATGCTCTCTACGTATGGTATGGTTTAAGCCCAAATTGTTAGGGAGTTCACGCAGCGACGACGACGGCAATAAAAACATCTGTTTAGACCCTCTCAATTTGTTAATGAAGGTAATTTTTTTTTTCCTGGAGTTGAGTCCTTATTAAGGGTTGTATCCAGATTCAGAAAAGGAAAATTCGTGGACATGTATTCACGTCCTCCATAAACGCGTGAGGGAGTTTCACTCTGTACACTGTAGTTGTGTAGTGGACGTCAAAGAAATATGTGCCAAAAAGCGTGATGCAAGTGCAGAGCTGTTGTTTTACTTATAAAACCAATTGTTTTTTCAAGTCGTCGTTGTCATTGTCGTGGTTACTTAAGCTCCCTTCCTGGTCAGTGATCGGTTGTGATCCTGTTATACATTGTTTTCCACGACTTTGCAGTGGTTTAGGTGCGATATGTATACCTTTGAAGAGCCATTTGGGCCTTCCCAAACTAACCTTTAGACTTTCTATCGCTAAACAGACAAGTCACTTGATATTTCAGGGCAATTATGACTCATGCATAAGTCCCCAAAGAGCAGAGGGAAGACTTGGGAATATCAGACACACTGGTGAGTTTTACAAACGAAAAGGAATCTAGCCTGTGTTAACTTTCGCAAAAACTTCTCAACTTTCTTTAATTTTCCAGACATGTTTCGACGGTACATCCGTCATCTTCAGTGTTGCATATTTTGAAATCGCCGTTGAATTTAAAGCGCGAGCGATCTTAGAAAGTTCGTTACATTGTGTTGTCAAAATTGCGTACTAAAACAAAAAATAAATAAATGAGTGACGCTTAGTTCTTTACAGGGAGAGAGTCAGGTTAATGTGTTTCACCTGCTGGTTGAGATCGGGCTTCTTCCATTTTATAAACGTGGATTCCTTAAGCTTCACTTGGTACTTAGTGGCTGGAGAGTCTAGGATCTCGAAGCAATCCGGTGTGCAAGATGCTCTACAAAACTCTGAACTCTGCAGATGTTTAAAAACGTTCGAAGATCTGTCTGAAAGTAAGTGCTCGCGCACTCGTGTGGAGAAGTGTGGGCTGGTTTCACCAACATAACAAGCATTACAACTTGCACACGAAAATTTATAGACCACACGCGTGCGTAGCCCCTCAGGGACTCATCTTTCACATGAAAAAGATTCCTGACTTTGAAATTAGTAAAGACTAACCTTAAATCAATAGGTTTACATAATCGGTTAACAAGTTTGCGTATACTCCTCTGTGCCGCGACTGAGAAGTCCCCAACGTAAGGGATTTTAAAGAAGAACTTAGGTGTTTCCTGGGGCTCGACTCCTGGAACGGTTTCTGGGGACAAAGGGAAAATTGGCCAGTAGCTGAACAGCGCGTAATCAGAAATAATTCCAGAAATCTTTGCGAAATCTTTGGTAAAGTGGGCCCAGCTTGATTCTCGTTTCTAAAGTTTTGCTTCAGTTTCGAAGTTAAAGTATACATATTTTCTATTTATTTATCTATTTATTTATTTATTCCTTTATTGTTTTTAATTTACGTGAATGATCTTCCGGACTGTCACCTGCAAGCGATATTAGGGAACTTAAGAACCACGACGACGACTTTGTCGACGACGACCGGAAGTGAGATACCGTGCACTGCGCAAGCCCGGTTTACAAATTTCGTCGTCGTGGTGTCGTCGACGACGCCAAACACAGTAGAGTCACGTCGTCCTGCAGTCCACAAGCTTCGGCAGGTATAACTCCCTGTTTTAAAGCGATTTTTTAAGGGCTTTGTATTTTTTCACCTCGTAAATCCAGGTATCCTTTCTTTTTCTGCTAACAAGCGATGTTGATTGAAAATTTGACCGATGAATTGTGTTTCTTCGAAGACAACACTGAGCTGTGCAGGCCAGCGAGCCAACTCGTACGTGACAAATTTATTTGTACGTATTTAGGTCATCAGGCAAATCATATATCTTTAATATAGAGGAAATGAACTTTATATGGAAAACAGCTATCGCATCGGACTGTCTCTTTTTCCAAATCTAAACTCTGACAGACACTCGGACTCGGTCATGTCATTCAGGTTGAAAGTTGAATAACCTTCGTACGGAAAGCAGAGATTTTTCCATTCGAAAAGGTCAGACAACACTAAAAATTCTTCAATCGTCAAAGAAAATAGACGTACGGCTTATAAAATAAGATCTTGCATCGTCTTAAAAGACGCCTTTGCGAAAAAACTTTGCTGCGAACGAACATCACAGTTGTACTACTTCTGCATGTTTGTTTCCCTTCAGTGTCGTCGTCGTCGACCTATCGATCGACTGCGTCTTAAGTTTCCTTTTTCCCGCCGAAACTGACGTTCTCGTTCCAGTCCTTTCCCAGTCAACAGACGTCGTCGTCGTGAACTTCGTCGTGGTTCTTAAGTTCCCTATTATTCTTTATGCGGACGATACTGTACTCTATTACTCATCCAAAAGCGTCAGTGATCTTGAACATCACATCAATGCTGACTTGGGGACAGTCTCTGAGTGGTTCTCTAGAAATCTCCTGACACTAAATATATCCAAATGTAATTTTGTTATCTTTGGAAGTCCTCAGAAACTGAATCGTATTCAAGGTATTTTGGTTAAAGTAGAGGGCACTAGTATTGAAAGAACACAATCATTCAAATACCTAGGCGTAACGCTTCAACAGTCTATGTCCTGGGCAGATCATGTCGACGCTATCAGCATGAAGATTAATCAGAGAATAGGCCTAATTAGGAGAATCAGGAATCTATTGCCGCTACAAGCTAGAGTTGCCTTGTACAATGCCCTAATCCTCCCTCTTTTTGATTACGGAGACGTTATATGGGGGGACAAGAACAATGACACCATCATGTCAGAATTACAGATTCTACAGAATAAAGCTGCTAAAGTTATGCTGGGGCAACCACCCCGAAGCTCGTCAACTGAAGCACTGAAAAGTCTAGATTTGAAGTCACTGTCCACAAGAAGGTTTTTTCATCGCTGCATTGCAATTCACAAGTGTCTTATTGGAGAAACCGATTTCAACTTTAATTTTACTAAAAGTCAAGCTGTTCATTCATATAATACAAGACGCTCTAATGATATTCGCTTACCCCTACCCAGAACAAACTGGGGTAAACAAACTTTTATTTTTCACGCCGCGAAAGACTGGAACAGCCTTCCAAATGATTTAAAAGAGTGTAATCTTCAACCACTGACTCGGACGGTGGTTGCTTATGTTTCTTAACAAATTTTTTCGTCTACATTTCCTTTTTTAGCCGTTAGCACATTCACTCGTCGAATTCCTAGTTTTAGCGTTGACCCCGAAGACCACTGAGACTGCCGTTCGAAGTCTAGTATGAGCCAGTGGTCTCCCTGTGGTTCAACGACCGTATGTTCTCAATGGCTTTTTGCTGAGGAAGTTAGAGTTGACGGTTCTCTGTCAATTTTGATAGTGAACTGGTGAACTACTTGACAGGGAAGCTGCCTGGCTGATCATGATCATTGCTTTGTATTTTAGATACGTTTGTCTGTGGGCCTAGAGGACACTGAGGATTTAATTGAAGATTTGGATCAAGCCTTGAAGAACGCGGTAGGTGGAAAGAATTATCAGGTGTCCTGTATTGGTTGCTCGAGCTACATTTTCACATGGGTAATTACGATCAAGTTAATACACTCACAGGTCTTCCAGTCTCTGAAAACGTTCACTTGGACGGCAAAATACAAGCACTACATGTAACTTCCCACTGATTTACAGAGCGAACTAATATGAAAATGAAAATATTGCATCCGTTAAGGTTCACTTTAATTTGGTGTTTGTGTGTTGTTTCTTACTTATCATAGAGCCTTACGGTCTCGTTTTGACCAGTTCTTCCTTTATCTAAAATGTTACCTGAAACAAACAAAGAACGAGAACACTTTCAAGAGCCTGGGCGCCCTAACGAACAAAGCCATCAAATTTACCTGTTCTTTGAAGAGGGCACTTGGTGATCAATTGTACCGAGGTCAAGTTAAGCAGGAAAGGTTTTGACTGGAGGAAATAAAATTGCGACTTCAGACATTTCTCCACTGAATTGGAAGCTGATTTTATGAAACAGCAGTTAGAAATCAAGCCTCATTTTACACATGAGTTTCTATAAAAAAGATGATTTTGTTGTGTTACTCCTTTCCTGAATGAGTTGTTATTGTTACAATGGTCATTTCTTTTTAAAACAACCGAGAAAAATATTATCGAGGTTTTTACGTAACCAAGCAACCTCCTTTTTTTTCTGCAGGTACCGGAATGTCTTCTTTAGCCGGAGAAATAAACTTTTTAATCATGAAAATTGAATGGCAGCAAGGTAAACAAATGATGTTGACTAAGTTTGAATTAGGGAAAGCCTTTGTTAGGGCTTGTCTTAGGTGTGTAGGTCAAAAGTACAGTGGTCATAAACCACGGTGTATATATCCCATGTAACCACACGTGAAGTTTCCTAGAATAGCCATACCTTGGGGATTGACAAAGTCGACCGAAACATTGTGTTGCAAGCAGAATATTGAGCCACAGTAACATGTTCATGGTCAGATTAAGAAGAAAAACCGTCTGACTATCGTAATAAGAAACCACTGCATCTTCGTATTTGGCTTATGGGCATTTTGCAATCAAAAATAACGTGTAAACGTTTTATAAATGGAAAATACATTTCTGATCTCAAGTATCTGAGTTTGATACTTCAAACCCTTGAAAAAAGCCAAATCCCATGAAAAATATAAGGCGTTCTGCGCAAGGCATCGTGGGAAGAGAGGACACGAGCGTTCTGAACCGGTGGGGGCATGGGGCTATAAGGCGATAGATAAAAAAGGAGGATAATTTTGCCTGGAAATGAAGCTGATAAAAAATGTGAAATGCAAATCAATTAAAAGAGATTTTGAAAATGATAGGGATTTTTCCTGGCGGCAGTCTACTATGCCTATGAAGATCTCTAATGTACTATTTGTTCTAGCAATTCGAGAGCGTAACATTATAAAAGTGATCTTTGTACTTGTTTGGTTTTTAGGTTGTGTAATGAATGCTTCTCTGCTCATTTTACTGATGCCTGTATTTACCCGACTGAGATAAACGTATTTATAAATTCAATAAATGACGTCATGGACAGTCATTTACGTTGTTCAGTGTATGTGTATTTCTTTTTACGTGGCTCGAACCTTGGAGTTACTTGGTGAAAATAGATACTTTAGGACTGCATGAGCCCCCAGGTAATTGAAAAACGGAGAGGTTGACAAAATAGTGTGTTTCACCTGCTGTAGAGGAAACTGTTGTTACGTTCTGTCCTTGAAAGTAAAAAAGTCGACCACTGCTTTTCGTTTACCCTCCAGTGTCAGCCATGTTAAGAAGAAGCTGATGTGAGAGGAGGCAAACGTTGAAATTAGCTTTGATTTCCAGCATGTATATTCTTCATGCCTACCGGGACTGGCTTAAAAGCTGGGGACATTTGCGTTCAACTTACTACTTGGACGCAGCCGAGCCATAGACTCGGCGAGTATGGGGATGGGTTTACAAACTTTTGCTGTGACATTTCAAGCTTTTTACGTGGTAGCCAAGTCTTTTATGCTTCGTTTAAAAATAGTTTTGCTTTTTAACGGCTATAAACTAGAGTTATCAAATGTTGACTCATCTTTTTAGCTGTAAGGTACAGAGTAATTTGTGATTTTTGTAATTTTGTGCGCAGAATGAATGAAGTTATTTCCCTAAACGATGTGTTCTTAAATCTGTTTTAGAGAAAGTTGATCCATTTACCAATAGGTGTGAGGTACCTATGAATGCTCTCTTTTTCCAATTCTTTTGAATTTGCCTCTTTGAGTATACGAGGTCCCAATTTTTTGTTAAACGTTTTAAGACTTAAAGTTAACCCATTCGCCCCTGAACCGCCCGTAAACGCCCGTGCGGATCCAGGTCCTTTCTACACATTGTGACGTCATCAGTTTTAACGGTCAAGGACAACTTTCTTCGCTAACTTGTGCAGAGTGAAGAGATCTTTCAAACCATACCATAATGAGCACAATTCAGTCAAGGACACCGGAGAAACAAGCAAAAAACCACGTGACATTGACCTGAAAATCTCCATGAAAATCTTGTTCCATCACCTAATCCTAAGATCCTAAAAGCTTTCCTAAAAACTCTTCCCACCGAAATGAAGCCTGCTAAATGCCCAGCAAGAGAAAAAAAAAATCAGGCAAGAAAAGCGAAAAAAGAAGGGAGGAGAGAAAGCGAAAAGTAAAAGTCAAGACTGCTGTGTCACTTTTAAACCCAAAAATCTCGAAATTTTGCTTTCTACGCATGCCCGAACTTCGCAAGCTGATATTTTGCATCTGGATCAGAAGGCCGCGAAGTGTTCGACCTGTAAACCAGTTTGTGGTAAGTTTTCACTCTTTATAGCACGACAGTGACCAGAAAACCACTCGACTAGCTTCAAAACGCTTTTTTCGGCAAAATCTCCAAAAGCGAATGGGTTAAGCAAAGTACCAAGCTTTTTGAAAAAAATCCACTTTTCAGCATAAAACAACCAAATCTGTCTATTTCATGTAAAATCAGGTGAAAAAGTTGGTAAAAGGCCATTTTTAGGTTTTTTGATTAAGTTGGAAAGAACGGCATTTTCGAAATCATTCTGTCAATTTTGGGATCGTTTTAGAAAAATGCGAAGTTTTTGAGGATGGTACTCTTCACTGCCTGAGTGTGTGTAAAACTCAGAAGACCATTTTTGCAGTTTCTTGCTGAGTGCCCTGGCCTTTGGATAGGGGCGAGGCTGGAAGTGACCTTGTTGTTGTTTTTTCTTTTTTGCAAATCGTCCTGTTTTCACATGCAAATGAACCTGTTCACAGGGTTGTTTATATGAGAATAACACGATGTGCAGATAAATTGGGACAAATCAAGGTCGCCTCTAGCCTCACATTACTTCAAAAGCCTGGGCACTGGGCACGCAACTGTAAGAATAGCCCATTCTGATTTTCATTTCCTGATAACTCATAAAAGATTGCTCTGACAATCAAGTGGTATCAACTAATGTGATGAATTTCTTTGCAACGGTTTAAAGTTTATTAATTAACATGTAAATGGTTATTTATTATTAATGGAGCTCCGCTCTTAGGCTTGGTAAAATCTATATTTTAAGGGTTGTTCATGTTGTTCGCTGCAAGATTTTCTGGCTCACTTCATTTTTCTGTGTTGGCGTCTTTGATTTCTATAAAGAAAAAGGAAACAGTAGCCTTTGCTTCAACACTAAACTAGGTGAAAACTGACGATAAAGCTGAATTGAAACTATTATTAAATAAAACAGCCAAACCCTTTTTTAATCCCGACACTAAGGAGCCCATATGAAGTGTCCGTTTTTACTGGGTGTTCTGTGGACTATGTCCTCGGAGACACTCAAAAGTCGCTCACTCGTCCGTAAATTCTCTATTAAGCCCCCCCCAGAGGGGGCTTATTTTTTTCAAGCGCTTTTGAGAGGGGGCTTGAAAGAGAAGGGGAAGGGGCTTATTTAATTTAGCGAAATGTATCAACGGGAGCAAGGTTTCTCCAGGACGGACTTGTGGTTACCGGGCGCTATACTACTTTTTCTAACAATAAGAAAATGGTTATAATTCTCTACAGAGAACTAGAGCGTAAAGTTGAAAAAGTTCTGCACATGAAGTCTGACGTCATGCGGCCGACGACCAAAAACAATATGAATTACCAGCCTTGATACGCCATAACTGATCAGTCCACGGAATAAGGATGGAGGGGAGGGAGGGGGGCTTATTAACTTTCCTCCTCTGAAAAGGGGAGGGGGGGGGGGGGGGGGCTTATTTGAGAGGGGGGCTTAATAGGGGATTTACGGTAATCAAAAACAGTTCGTATGTGTAATCAAATGGTGACGAGTGAAATTAGGGAATTATTTCACGCGCGTTTTGTCCACATCCTAATAATTTCTCGAGCATTTAGGAGAGGGAAGTTATATGTATTAGGATTTGGACAAAACGCACGTGAAATAATTCTCTTATTTCTCGCAGCATATCATTTGATTACCTGTTCAGTAATATCGTAGGTGACGAATTGCGATTGCAGTTGTGGATTTTTGACATGTTTATCCTGGTTTTATCGCATCGATCGGAGAACTCCACGCTCTCAAAAGTTTAGAGCTTAACTTTGGCTGAATTTTAGAATTTTCGGAATGTCTCGACAAAATACCTGTTAGAATCTGGCCTTCTTGATGTGTGTTTATGTTTTCCAAAGCGTACTTTTCATGCCCTGACATCTTCATTCATAAAATTTAAAAAGTTCGTCGCCATCTTGGAACTGACACGTACGGAAGGTTGCCATGGCAATTTTGTGATTTTAAACATGAAATTACAAATTAGTAATAGCATGATTTGTAGTGATGTTTGCCATAAATACCAGGAGTGATATTTCGAAATTGTTCTACGTAATTTCACGAGCCGTTAGGCGAGTGAAATTTGAGACAATCTTGAAATATCACGTACAAATCATGCTATTATTTGCTTTAATAATATACATGAAAAAATTTCTCGATTGTGATTGGCTGAGAGAAATACAGTTTTTTGGTAACACAGTGCAGAAAAAAGGTAATTGAGTGCAGAAAAAAGGTAATTTAGTGCAGAAAAGAGGTAACAAACGAGGCATTCTGATTGGTTAATAAACAAAGGAACTCACTGAGAGCCAATCAAGTGCGCCATCTGAATGGCGCAAAATCTGGATCCGCTCTTGACCAGGTTCGAGCAAAAACCGCAATGGCTGGCGTTTGTAGCAGATTTGCTTTTGCGACCGCAACAACTATAGAGGAGCTGAAAAACTGCTCCAAAAACGAAAACACTGCAAAAAGCACCGATTTTTGGCTCTCTGTTTGGAAGAAGTGGTGCTTAGAGAAGAAAATTACAGATGAAATAGAAAATTATGAGCCGGCTGAGCTTAACACTTTGCTCGAGCATTTCTACGCCGAAGTAAAAAATAAACAAGGTGAAGATTATGAACCAGAAAGCCTCAAAGTAATGATGGCATCGCTTGACAGACACTTAAAGAACAAAGGCTACACCTTGTCCATTGTACGTGACCGAGAATTTAGTTCGTCCAAACAGGTGTTGGAAGGCAAAGCGAAACAGCTTCGCTTGGCTGGCCGTGGTAAGCGCCCAAACAAAGCTCGACAAGTATCAGAGGAGGAAGAAGAAATTCTCTGGAAGAGCGGAAAACTCGGAGGTAATAACCCAGAATCAAGGTTGACATGTCTGACTTTCCTGTGCATGATCACACTCAGGAACAAAACGGTGGCCCATACTTTTCTTCTATCGTTCGACAATGCAAATGGCCGCCTCTGTCAAGAAAGGTTGTTGTGATCCAGAAATTTTGCTACAATGGTAACCTGACGTCACCCTTCTCCTCTCCATTACTTGTGTCTAAAAAATAAATATGTTATTGGGGTCGTTATTGCTTTTTGCGGAGAAATAATTTAAGACCGAGATGTCACAAGTAAGAAAAAGGGCACATCATGTTCTATTTTTAGGTTGTGTGGGTGATGTCCTTATTTGGAAAAGATGATATTTTTGATTGGCAGACTGAGACTCGTAAGGTGTTCATAGCTTGTCGTGATTTGGTTGGTTGTTAAGCCTAAACTCCTGTTACAAAAAAAAAAATCAGTGAACCGTGTGGACGAGGTTGGGCCGTTAAATCGCGCAACATGTACACCAGATGTTGTTGCAAAAAGTAGAACTACTCTTTATTTTCTACAACAAATGTTTGCAACCATCAAGAACCTGATTTGTAGCAAGACAGGTTTGAAGGTGGGTGGTAAAACAAGCAACATCGCTTTTCAACTCGTTTGCAGCAATGTTGCAAAACAAGTTGCACGTTTTTGTTGGCAGTTTTACCAGCGAGATAAAGGGGCTGTGTCACGGCAGTCCAGTTCATTTTGTTTAATTTTGACAATTGCTCGCCCTCAATCGCTATGGAACTTAAAGTAAGCAAAGAAATTACAGGTAAATGACAAAATCAGAGAAATATGCCTCCTGAGTATTATTTTTGAAGTTGCAAGCAGCAGGGATCAACTTCGAAAAGTTTTCAAGAACCTTAATTTCAATCCTTTTCAATCTTCTTCAGTTTTGCCAATCCGTGACATGTGTTGTTTCTGTTATGTTATTTTAACCTTCCTTTGATGTTTTGAGCGATTATTTTTATGTTTCTCTTAATTTAACGGGCATTTTGTAATTTCCTAAATTTGGCTGAATTTCGTGACACAGCTCCTTTAAGCCCCGAATATATGACTTTGTACAGCATAATTAAACGTGTACCGTGGACTTTTGCTTTACGAACTCAACTTACTCGGCTGTTTGAAGCACCACCTAGCACCGAACGCTGTAACTGTTTCATCCCAGCAGCATGTTCTGTTAAGACATTCCTCCTTTGTTATCCCATAATATCCACATTCCACACGTTCAGATGGAGCCACGGGACAAAGTCCATCAGGAAGATCTGTACAGATTTTAACATCCGTATACCCTTTATTAACCAGTGATGGTTCTTAACAAAATAATAGTACGTATTTATAGTGGAGCTCTTGCGCAACGGAGCACCATGGGTAAGAAAATTCGGTTATCCATGCATCCAAGAAATTTTGGTTCTGAGAAAATCGTTCGTACGTACTTGCGTACGTCCGCCCGCTCATGTAAGCGGATGTTAAGGGTCTTACTCTACATCCATGTTATGATCAATTAACAGCTGTCAACTTTCATAGAATACCCGCTGACCAGTGTCACATGACTGTATGGCGAGCTCAGGTGTACAACTGTGAGGAGACATGTTTTTTATAGTTTTCCGCACACAAGTCAAGGTATTCAAGTGATCGCAGGCTCAGAAAAATTTACTTTTGAAAGACAGTTTTATAAATGTATATATTATTTGTATTTAGCTTATTGTATCACGTTGCATTGCATTGTATTCTATATCTATTGTATGGTACTGTAACGAAAGTGGAACATCTTTGGGTTGCCATTAATGCAAATTTATCTTCAATTGTTTCAAAATGAAAAAAAGAACTTTTAACTGGAAAATATTTGCTCCTGGTTACGAAGTCGTCCAATCAATTTTCCTTCCTCAAGGAAATGTTAAGCGTCGGAGCTCATAACCTTAAGCGTAAGTTTGTGACGTGTTTCGAAAACTTGCGAGAATGCAGGATTTTGAGTCGCATAAACGCTGTCACCAAACTTTTTTACAGGGCCTCTCTTAGCTGCACTGTGACCTAATCAAAGCTTACGCGAGTTTCCTTTAACGTAGCAGTACTTTGCGTTTGGATCGCTTTCATCCCAGCAACAGCCTCTCTTCAAGCAGGTTTGTTTGTCGATTCCCAGCCATCCACATTCATAACGGTTTTGAGATTGCACGTCACACGTAGGGGCTGTAAGTTACAAAACACAAGATAATTAAAAATGCAAAGAATGTTAACGCTGTACCTTACGTTCCACCAATCAGGTTATTTACTCTCATTACCTTTTCTCCTGAGTATAGATCAAGATTGTTACGAGAAAATTGATGTTGGTCACTATTACGGGGACTTGGGAATTGTTTTTTTTAGGGGGGGAGGGGGGGTCAAATGAGCACATCATGTTGCACCACTTTCACGCATAACCAAGGTGGAAACACAATACATTTATTATTTCAAGTATCTTGGCTAAATGAACGGAGCTTAACATGGGTATAAACTTTCCTTTAGTTAAAAAAAAGGCCTTTCAGTACTTTTCCATGGAGCAATTTGCTTTTTTGATATTCAGTACTATTCAAGGATAAAGAAAGTATATTTGCAAGTGCAACTACTCAGACTGGGGCACCTGGAAGAAGATTATCCAATCACGACGTTTTTTCGAAAACAAAATATTCTTAAGTTTTTTTCGCAACGGACATTCATGAATCTGATGGCTGTTTCCTGAGTGGTCAGGTAAGTTCAAGCAGTTTTAAAGTTTTTAACGGTTGCATAGTTGAACCTTGACAGGAGCCGACCTTGATTTTCATCGGTCCGTTTGCAAAAATAAAATCTTTTGTTTTTTTAAAAACGTTGTGAGTGGATAATCTTCTTTAAAGTGCCCCGTTCGAGATAGACCCCTAGCCCCAAAGGGGTACGGGTCAATTCGTCTCATGGGATGTTGACCTGTGGCCTTGAAAGCGAAGGGTCTAATTGTTTTAGTTTCACCCAACTAGTCGCACAAAAAGCAATTATAAAGATAAGAAATACTTGTTAAAAAATATTTGGGAAAGTAATGGACCAAGCTCGATTGCACAAAATTTTCATAATAAAAATTCACATTACTGATACGCTTCTGAAACACGTGATACAAAAGCGAAGCTTGTGAAAATTCTTTTATTCACTTATCCAGATGTGAAGTCGGTGGAAATCCAACCAAAACTGTTCTTAAAAGCAACAATAAAAAACTTTACAATAGTGCAACGACCCACAATACTTTCATGAACTGCAAGTACTGAAGCAAAAGTGATTTAGAACTAGAAAATTGTTAACTACCTTTACCCTCGGACTTACACGCAAATTCATACCCCCACCTTGGTCCAAGGGGGGCGGGATGGACCCCTTCCCCGGAGTTTGCGGTATTTCGAAACGATTTTGCCTTTAGCGAAAAGCCTTTGATTTTCTGAACAAGATGAGGTATATTTTAAGGGTAGTTGTGCTGCTAAAGGAATGTGACGTCAACAGCAATGGTCGCCATCTTGGATTTTACCATGAATTAGAAATCAGGTTAAAACCGCGAGAAATATTAATTTTTTGTACTTTACATGAAAAATAACACATAAATAAGTACTTTGCATGATTTTAGCCACAAGATTTACTTTTATTGTTAAAAGAAGTTAAAAAAACATGTATTTTCACCCAAAAAATGGCTTGACCACCTGCTACTTATGACGTCATATCTCGTAACCATAGAAACTGACCATCACTGAACTTGTCTCAAAATTTGTGCGAGGGATAAACGAACAGCTACTGAAAACGTCAGGTGATGATGTTTATCTTCTAGGAAAAAACTCAGAAAAACCTCTTTGTACGTCCGAGGGTTAATACAGTTACACAAGCCTCCAGTTAACTTTAAACGTAAAAATAATAATATCATCTTTCATGCTAATATCCGTACCTTGGGCCATGTTATCCGCGTTTTTGCCTTTTGCAATTTTCTACAGGAGTTTTCTCTTTCTAAAAACAATAATTTCTACGTACTAAGTAAATCCTGAGATCCTCTTGAGATGAGGTCGAATGGCTAGTTTTTAAGAAAAAAGCCTTTTAAGGTCTAGTTTCCAGTCCCCTTTTGGAGTGATTGGTCACTATATATCGCGATATGCTACGCAATAAACGATTTTTAGAAGGTAAAATGAAAAATTAAATTTGGCGTAAAACATTGTGAGACATTCATTTAACTCTTCCTTCTATATTTCTTGTATAACTGTTTTGAATTTTGTCTTATCTGGAAATAATTTTGTAACAAAAAATGTGACAATATACTGAAAACACTGATCGAAAAAAGGTTATTTGTTTTGAATTGATGGTAAACGTTAAATCGAAACCATGTAAATGCTTGTAATTTCGTTCAATAAAAAAAGTTAACTTACAACTAAATATCTTCATTCCATACTCCGTTGCTGTTTTAGTCTTTTCTGGAATGTAATTGTCTAGCAATTTATCTAGAAACTAATTTGAAAGCTCGACAAAACGCGAAGCGGCCGCCATTGTTTTGATCAGTTTTCAAACCCACCGAATTTCGCCAGTCAAGGACTATTACTTATAGCCTCCTAGTGGCTCAGTTAATTAAAATGCAGGATTTGCATGCATTAGTCTACTAGTTGGGTGATACTAGAAAGAGTTGTAATGCTTTAAATCAAATGCTCACAAACTTACGTGGGCCGAGTTTTGAGTTGTAGCAAAAGAGGGCATCTGGATGAGTACTGTCCCAACAACAGCCTTTCTTCTCACATGTTCCTTGATCTATTCCAAACCATCCACATTCATACCGATATTCGGGTTTCAGTGATATCGCAGATATCTACTAAGAAATGAAACAGGTTTCTCAAATCAATACACGAAAAAAAGATCTCTGTCTCATTCTTAAAAAATTTCAATGGCAAAAAGGCCCGTCACCCCCGGCCTCTTTGTTGAATGTTTTTGTAAGCTTTTTTACACCCAACCGTGTCAACGTCCAAAATAGTCGGCAGTCTACATTTAACCGACGTCACCACTAGTTTCCGCGATAAATGACGTCTGAGGGACGAGGCCCGTTAATTCCATAATGATCACGTGTCACTACCCAGATGTTAACAGTGTTTTTAATTGGTCGTGCCACGTAGGAAATTTGCTACAACCAATCAGAAGCACTACCCAGATTTGGGAAGTGACTAGTCATCAGTATGGAGTTTTTGCGCTCGTTCCCCAGACGTCATTTCGCGGGAAAACCAACAGTGGCGTCGCGGAATGTCGGCTTTTTTCTTGGGCTGCCTTCCAAAGCAATCACCATCATAGTGAACTGACCAATAGAAACGTCGCATTAAGGGATGCGCACTGCAATTCACGAATCTGAATCTGCAGAAGAAAGCGTTATCAGCGTAAAGAATGAGAGCAGAGAGAAAAAAAGGGTTTATATTTCTGGTGGTATTCAGTAGATTGCTGTGCGCATGTGATTGGAAGCCGTTGCGCGAGGGGCAAAGCGTACTGTACCTTCAATACTCGTGACATTAGTTGGGACGGTGGGGATATTTTCTGCGCCCTCAATGTCGGTTTTGGCGGGTTGGCATCAGAGAAGCAAAAAAATCAACACTGGGAGGGAAGGAGCACAACTTTGTGTCGGAATTATGTGTACAGCACGGGGTGTCCCAGCTTACTGTGATGAGAATTGGTGCTGGAAAATCTAAGTTTGTCACAATACAAAAGCTTAGTTTAACTATAAAGACGACGTTTTCTGATTAGCGGTTTCAAAGACTGCTTACACGGGCGAGGTCGATAGCTACATCGCCCCAAGTATCGCAGTCCAAGACAGTCTTGAAATCTGGATTTTACGCTGTGGATTCCCGATTCCCGGTAAAAAAGAGGCTGTGGAGTCTAGAACAATAATCACACTGATACCAAACAAAGAAATAAGTGTTCATGCTTATATAAAAACGCTACGAGTTCTGTTCCAATGTTAATTTCCAACACAACTGAACAATGAAATACAGGACCGTTTCACGGCAAATTGAAAATGTTAAGGCTTGTTGTTTTTTTTACTGTCGTTCTGTTCCGTTCCAGTTGTTCCAGTCGCATAAGTGTTTTATAGATGTTTTTGAAATACTTTCTTCATTAATTGTGACGCACAATAAATGTATTATAAATGTAACTCTACATGTAATGTTATGTTTGCTTTAATGTGTTTCTCAGATACGTTTACTTTTATTTCGTCGTTCCACAAGATTTTTTTATTCCGCTTATATGCCCTCTCCCCTCCCCCCACGGCTATAATCCCCCCAGTTTATGAGCCCACCTAAAACTCGTTATGAAGTTATATGAGTCCAGGGCCAGGTTCCTGAAAGGCCAATTAGCGCTGAAAATAGCAGGATAAATTTTTTTTCCACTTTTTGTATTTACCGTCCTATGCATTGCCTGGAGCAAAACTTTGTGTTATCATTTCCTTTTTTCGAAGTAAAGGCACAACAGTATTTTGTTGTAGATCAATTTAGGTTTCTGGGAAAATACCCACCTACCCCTCCCCTATACTAACATTAACAGTTGCTTCTTACTTAGAGCAAACGTTGTTAGCTCGAGTTTATATGTTTTTAGACTAGAAAACCTTGCTTGAAATTTGGCTTATTCCTGGGTTAAACTTAACCATCGTTCGAGGAACCGGGCCTAGGGCTTTGAGGTGGGATTTTACGGTGAATTTACTGGGGATTAGTCACTATATTTACCTTGGTCGTTTTGAGATGGCATACATGTGACAATGAGCGCTGCACCAACGATATAGATGACTGACTGAAATATTCCTTTCATTTTTCGTAGCTGTTAACATAACAAAAGGAATAAGCTTTTACAAATGAATCAAAAAATAAAAATTAATCCAGAGGCTATTAACGCCCCCTGATCGAGTTCCTATTTAAGATCATAAATCAGAATTGTAAGCGCAAAAAGTGAAAATAAAAAAGGTTTTTTTGCAACGAAGATTTGTGCTATTGAAAAATCAAACGACAGCATATCTATTTTGATATGAGAATGTCGAATATTATCAAAACTAAATTTTTAACCTTTTTAATTAGTGATCAAAAAAGGAACAATCAGTACAATTTTAACGCTGTTAATTAACTAGTAAAAGTTGGTTTAAGAGTTTTTAGTGTTATAGTTATTGAATTTAATACTGCAAAGAATGTCAGCAAATTCTAC